AACAGCAACCCAGCTTACTGTTGTTTGTAGGGGGTAAGGGATAAGAGATATTATGTAGGGAGAACATTCCCATATTTTCTGCTAACAACCAGTAAGTGAAGGATTTCCATTGCATCCCATTCCTCTGAATACGCGACTCTCATATTCACCGAGTTTTGAGAACCCATCGGATTTATGGGGCGTGGGGCCCAGGGAGGTTACAAAGCTTTGGGTTGTAGGCTCTAGGTTGTGACAACAAATCTGATAGACTATAACCTACTATAGTGTACTATAATACACTATCTGCTGGACTATAATATACTAGAGTTACAATGACATGAAAAGGCCAGTTAATGTTCAAGCTTAGTAGGAGCTCAAGGAGTCGACCGGCTTGAGGCGTCACATGAACTTTTAGTCCCCCTTAAGTAGATNNTGGGGATCTTTTTATAATATACTCAAAGCCACATTCTATCTACTTAAGGGGGACTATATCTAGGGAGGAACGTGTTTGGCGCCACTTAAAGCCTATAGGGCCTGAGCTAAATTTGGAGTTAACACCGGTTGTCTTGAGAACAACTCTGGTTTTTTACTGCTGTGAGGAACCAGAAGCACCCAAATTCACACCTCTAGTATAGAACTGATAGCTATTTCGCAGAGCTGGGTTCTAGCGGAATCCAGAATGCTGCAAGGAAAGGAGTTTCCCCAAATTTCGATGTGGACTCAGAAAGAGAGCCATCAACTTGAGAAACCCCGGATGACCTGTACAGTCTATCAGGTGAATACGGTTCTAGGATTCTGGGATCTTGAAACTTGCTGTACAGGGGTTCCATCTATGCCTCTAGCAGTTAAATCAAGAGGTTGTTGCAGAACGACCTGACCTAGACCCCTGCGTCCAAGTGTGGGGCGTGGCTTCAGGTTGGGCTGTTTCTACCGCTGCTGCGCAATCAACGTGTGTGGGAGACATACCTTTTCTAAGCGGGTACGGCGGGTACGGTTGGAAATGGGCACTCCAACTTCATATCATCGTAAGAATGCCGTAGAACCTTACCTCAGAACCCAAAACCCTACACCCTAACTAATTGGGGTTACAGGTAGACTCATGTGTCAAATGCCTCGCCTCCGGATTGTCGAAGAGAGCTCCAGGAGGCAAGGTTGAGATCGCATTGGACCTCAAATCCAGTTCCTGAGCCAAGCTCCATTGAACTGGGTTGCTATAAAGGAACTTAATCTAAGTTACTATTTTGGGAAAACCCTATTATTTACTGTAGATACACATATATAGATATAGACATGTATATATAGCTTATCTTAATTAAGTTCCGTAACCGCAACCCAGTGGAGTTCAGGCATAGAGGTTTCTAGGGGTTTCTTTGCTAGCACGTAAGAAATTGAGACGTATGACGTCTTCATCAACTGGGTACAGGCCTCAAAGAGTTGAAGTTGTACCTCTGTACCCATTCAACAGAGCCATGCACAAGAATTGAAATTGAAGTTTCCCAAAATAGGGGACCCCAATGTAGACCCCAATCTACAATAATCCTGATTTTGGGGCCCTAAGGAGTACCCCTAAGTTTGGGAAAGCCCCAAAGTGTACCTAATCAAATAGCAAGAGCTCCCACAGCTGCGCCAGGCCCGTGGTGTTCGGGAACTTCCTCAGACCTCACCACCGGCTGAAGATGGGATGCGAGATTGGCATTTGTCAAGGCTATGGCAACCCTTTGCTCCTCCAAATTAGTTGTCCCGAATAAGGAAATGCCNNCCCCCCCCCCCCCCCAAAAGGCTCTAGTTTAGGAACCCTCCCTCGGGCTTTCATACTCTGACATGATTGCAACTGGCCAAAAAGGGATTGCAGCTCCGTTCTTGGTAATGTTTGCTGCTACTGTTCACTACTTACCTGGTGCCTTTGCTTCTAGCAGTTGTAGTGCTACTTGGTGACTTCTGAACATTGGTCCATGAATGCATGGTGCGTGCAACGCTCAAGCTAACTCCTGGCTTCCTACAGGATTGTCCTGCTAGAAGGTAGCAAAAAACTTATAAAACAAATCCATCCCAACACGGTGAAAGCATGCGGAAGAACAGAAGGGGCACGGACCCGAAACAAGCAGCAAAGCTTGCGTTTACAGTGTGATGCCAGGGCCAGAATCAAGAGCTCCTTCTACACCAGCCCTTCTCATGCGCCTAGACACGGTTGTAGGACAGCCGGAGGCTGGCGAGGTTCGGCATCCCGGCAAAGGCATCGTCTGGCAGCTCCTTGAGGAAGTTGCCAGATAGGTCCAGCCTCCGATGGCTCTTCTATCGCGACTCATCACCCTTTCGAAAAAAAAAAAAAGGAACCCCCAAACGGTGCAGATGGTTCACTCGCATTCAGGGGAAGGATGTAGCACTGGATTATAACGACCTTCGTAGAGGTCATTGCTCAGTCCCCGGAACTTGAGTCCATATCATTGCCAACGACAAGATGCGTAAACTACTGGCAATAATGTGATGACAAGGGATTCCTTTGCATTGCATTGCTACAATCTTCGCTCGGGTTGTACTGTCTGGCTCGCTCTTGTACTTGGCACCAGCAATGCCAGCTTAGCACAATCAAGCCACTCCTGATATTTAATAGAATCCCCCATGCCCCAATGGCCTGAAAAGAGCTTTCCTCAATCCTATAATTGTACTCTTATTTGGGGGGGGGGGGTAGGGGAGCAGATTACACAGAATTTGCAGCGTTGAATTCTTGGAGGTTACTGTAATGGGGCCCATGCCAAAGGGACACTAGCATTTGGGGTTAGAGAACGGGGACTTTGATTACAGAAGCAGCAGGTGCAGGTGTACGTCGCAATTGTACGGCCACCCTGCCTCTGCAGCTTTGGGCATTTGACCTCGGCAGCGAAAGGCCAAGAGGTGATCCGGCTGCCTGCGTGGTGTGGCTCACAGGGGTAAGAGTGGGTGGGCCGCGATCGCGACTCAAATTCGGTCACAGATGTCCTCTGATTCGCTCTCCCTCTCTCCCTCTGTCATGTCTCTGTCTTTTTTTCTTTGGCTAAGAGGGTGGTGACGAATCAACGGCCTTTAGGTCCCCCGCCACAATCGTGGTGTCTTTTGGTAGCTGGGTGAAACAATTTACCCCCCCCCACTATCGTAAAGTACAGGTAGCACAAAAGAAACCAAGGCAAAGACAGGCCAAACAAGGTAGAGCAAATCTGCCTTTCTCTCTCTCGCTCTCTCTGTGACTCTATGTGTCTGCTCGGAGTTGTCGGCCTGGCCTGACAAATCCAAGGCTTCCGACTTTGCGCAATCCACTACCCTGGCGTAGGCTGTCGCACGGGAATCTTCCATCTCCTATCCAGGCTTCGTGCTATGCACGTAGAAGGTCTACATTAGAGTTTGATTATAGGGGGAATATAGCGGTTATACAGGAAGAATGGACAGAAAATGGAAATTACCATAATGCGGTTAGATAATTATCTAGAACCTCTTTGCCTAGAGAGTGTACCGAAACATTAAAGACTTTTCATCCTGGCAATAATCTGCTGCAAGTCCTCGATCATGAGCTGAGGTAAGGAGTGGAATGTCGTATGCAACGTTTATGTGAAAACCCTAAACATTCATATGTGCTCAGCCTTCACCCTGGTTCCACGCTAGCTTGGGAACAGAATGTCTTTTGAGGCCGCTATTGGAGGTTGATCCAAACTGAACACGTACGCCATGGGCCAGTCTATTACATAGAGGAGTCTGCAAGGTCACTTAATCGTGAACGATGATTGAAACAGACAAACAAAACACAGCCCCTGTGATGCTGCAGCTTCTGGACGATCACTGACCCCCAAAAGCCTGAAATCCTAGAGACTAGCTGAAAACCGAAAAACTCCAGCCGCAAGCGCCTATCACCTATCTGCGCCTTCCTAATCCAAATTGGCAAGTTGTTGGGGCTTGCGGGGCAGCTACCCCACCGCAGCCCTTCGCGAAGATCCTCTGAGACACTCCGGCTCTGCTTCCGCTGCAGCAGCCGCAGAGCGTCTGGGCAGCCGTCTTCCCCTGCCTGCTATGGAATCAGGCTCTAGCAGGCTTCCTGCTTTCTAGTTGGGGAAGTTCGAGACAATTCGGGGGTTGGTAAGCGCATCTGCGAGAACAAATCCTTCTCAAGCGCAGGCGCATCATAAGCCAGCTCAATTCAGCACGGCACTGACCGCTAGCCTGCATGCCATCCCTCGGCCAATGGGATCAATTCAAACCCAGCAGATTTTGAGTGAAGTGTGCCCGAAAAGCTGCTTCCAACCTCGGTGCCCAGGGCTTGTGCAACATCGTCCCCTCCGCTCTGCTGCAGAACCTCAGAAATCACCAACTTGTATGCAAACCGCTTCAACAGCATAGAAGCCTGAGCTGGGTCTTGAACTGCAGAGGAGTGAAGAGTCCAGCAGTTTGTGCTGCTCCTTGCTATGCTGTCACTTGCCAAAGAAGGGCTGCAGCGTGGGTTAAGCCTTCGGCGGATCTTTGCGTCGATGCAGGCTCTCACAAGAGTGAAAACTAATGCTCATGTATGTTCCCAGGAGTAATACCCTGTACACGAGAGGAGTCCAATGCTCATGTCCAAGCGCAAGCTGCAAATCATATTTGGTAGTTTCAATAAATAGGGGGACCCCAATATAGACCCAAATATACTAGAATCCATAAAATGGGGATCCCAAGATGTCACCTCTGATTTTAGGAAATTCCATTTGTAAAGTGTGAAGGCGCTAACCCCGGCAGAGGATGCATTTTTGTGTGCCCTCAACTTGACACGAATCATGCAAGCTGCAGGCTTGCAGCTGCCCCAAAACAGATTTAGGCAAGAGAGCCTCAAAAAGCTCCAAATGAAGCCATGAAACAGCAGCAGCTAGTAGCACATGAACCCGCCAGAGTCCTGCCTTGGGTTTTTCCAGGCTGCAGTCAGGAGTTTCCAGCACGGGTGCCCTTTCGGGATGCTAAGAACCTCTTCATGGTTTCTGGTGGGACATGCTTCTCGCAGCGCTTCATGCTTTGACCACATTGATGAACGTGATCTCTTAAAATTTGAGGAGATTTTGAATGAACTGATTTTGGTCATGCAGCTAAGAACTGTGGATCGAGGAGCTGGAGTACAAGGCCGCAAACGCAAACATCATGCGTGTGTGCTACTGCACGAACACAGGCTTGTGGGTGAAGCCGGCCAGCCAAAACCGACTTGCGAATGTAAGGCTAAACTACAGCAAGGGCCCCCCCCGCCCGCCCCGCTGCGCAAGGATGACAGGAATGCATGCAAATCCAAGGTACCATCCGAGGGCTTGCCGAGGCTGCTTTAGCAGCTCAATGAGCCTACGAGGCCCCTGTAAGCTGCGACCTATTAAATGAGTGGATAATACAAGCACAGCTGGTAATTCACCATTTACTACTACATAGGCAAGGGATGTACTGCAATTTGGGGGACTTAGCTCATCCTTCGCCATATGCTGCCTTGCGAGGCTGGTGTGTTTAGTCCATCGGCACCAAACCTTGATCATTCTCCAATCTGGAAGCACAACTCTGAGATGTCTGAAAACCATGATGTGTTGTGCCTGCTTGTGGTATGTAATGCAACCGCATTTGCGTGCAAGGCATACTTAAATTGTCCCCTACCATGTTGCTGGCGGAGCCGTACTGATCTGTCATGCAGCCACCGTTTTGGTAGCCTCAGACTTGTGGTAGTGGCACTAGCGGCTGCAGAAGTGGCCAAATGAAACAACACCTGCCATGTGCAAAGTGGTTAGGATGCATCCAAGCATTCATCATGTTATGGGACCATTTGAATTCTACACTCCCATGACATGACAGGAAATTAGCATCGCGTGTCTTATGCTTTCGTACTTGTTACTGCGTCGCACTGCACAATCGAGGCAGGGAATTTCTTGAAGAGGTGGGTCATGAGGTCTAGATTCCGATGGCGCATGCTAGTCCTGCGGTTTGTTTCGCCGAAGCGTGGCCGCTTGGTCCCGCGTAGGTACGATCCTGTTGGAAGCCTATCAGTATAGCTTGTCTACGAAATATCTCTCCGTGGAGTTCACCCTCTGCCGTTCCGGTGCTGAAGATCCTGAAGCCCAAATCCCAACACGGCAGCCGAAAATTGCAAGCCTTGTGAAGCGGAATTCCAGCCCGACCCCTAACTACCTGACCTCTGCTTGTCTTAGCCTCCCACAAAACCTTTTGTCAGGCCCATCAAGTGCAACGAACAATCTCTGTTACCCCTGCAATAGTCGGCAGGAGAAAATGGAAAGAACCCAGGGAGAAAGCGTACCGCCTCCTTCGCCTCAAATTGCCCAGCTCAATAAGATGGCAGCGCACTACGATGCAAGCCCCGCAAGCCTTGCCAGCCTTGATGAGGCTGCCTGCAGCATTCCTGCGTTGCGGGGTTCAACATAAATGGGCAGGCGGGAAATGTGAATGTCAGTGGCGGCAAGACATGTATAAAGGCCCTGATGACATGGTTTAAGCACACAGCATTCCTCTTTACTTTTGGCTGCAGGGACGAACCGGCTTTGCAAACATCAATGCAAATCGCGCCGGATGTGGAAAGACCACCTGAAGCACAAACATTAACCGCCGCCGCTGACTCTCAACCGCCAGGCCGCAGCGTCTCACTCTGAAAAGGGGGCCATGCGCACCAACAAGTTGAAAAAATACTCTCGCTGGTACCGCCTCATGACAGGAGATGGGTGAGGCATCTTTGCGTCATCAGCGAAGGCCTGAATCACCACGTCCTTCCACTTCAGCCTCGGGTATGCTGTGAGGATTGTCTTCTTCGTCTTCTTGGACAAGTCCTCACAGCGATAGCCCACCACGTCACAGCACGTACCAACAGTAATCAGGCCGGCCAACTCTGTTGGCTTTTCAAAGCCGAGTGCTGTGTGCAGGCGGATGGCCTCGTACATGATGGTGATTTGTTGCTTGGTCATCTGTGTCTCTTTCAGGGCAAAACGCAAGCACTTGCGAGCCCCTCGCACCTCGAAAGGATACATGGATTCTTCACTCTCTGTTTGGCTTGTCTTCGTCAAGCCGAAGTCATGGAAGGCAAATGCCACTGCCATCTGCTCTAGGTCAAGGCCCTTGAGGGAGCCTTTTCCAAACCACCGCACAGCCGCAGCAAAGTAGTATGCACGCATACAGTGGTTGAACAAGGACTCTCCAGAGAACTCTCTGCAAAGCTCAAAGGCTCGGACTACCGCCTCGGTCTGAGGAGGGCCAAGTGCCTCTAACTCCAGATCGCTGGGTGTGCGGAGGCCCAAAACATGGCCTGACTTGCGCCAAATCTCAGCCATTTTTTCCCTCGCAGTGACGAATAGGAAGTAGGCTCGATTCTTCACAAAGACACGAGACTCCAGAGTGAGCAAAAACTTCTCCTCGTCGGTCTCCACGTCTGCTTCAACCTGATCTTCCTTCGCTGTTGCCATGAGGCCAGAGTCTTCCGTTGTCATGAGGCCCGGAGATTGAGGCGCGCGAGTCTACGCTAGACTACAAGGTGGAGCTGGCTTCTGCAGCTTCCATTCTCCCAGCTGAATCCAGCAGCAGGCGCAAGGGAGAGTACTGGCACAAGAGATGCTGTGGCCATGTCTGGCATGCTGCTCATGCTACGTGCTCCCTTCCCTGTCACTCATACACATGCAAGGACCTCCTACTGCAAACGTTACCATCTGGCCTTGCCTTACAGGCAGGGATCCTCTAGAATAGACCCAAGGCCTTAGAACTACCCATCACCAAAACAACCTGTGTCTGAACGAATCCCAGTGCCTGTAGAAGTGAAGTTTGTGCTTGATGACCAAGCCTGAGGGGGCATCTGCATATTACAGCTTCAAGGCCAACAGGTCCCATGCCATAGATAGAAGTTGCTGCGCCAGTATTGGAACCTCGCTTCAAGGACACTCGTGTGTACTGCCACCAGCCATAACCTCCCATCTTTTCAAAAGCCAACAGCACAAGAACATCAACAAGCCTTGACTGCACCGGGTCTACAAAAATGGCAGCCCGGCCCAGTACTCTGTTGGCCGCGATCCAATCAGTGAATCCTTCAGCATGCCTGGGTCCTCTACGCTTTGACCCCACCGGGTCCCCGGCCATTGTGCTTCATGGATGCACGGGACCTTGGCTGCTTCGTAATTCAGACACACGCTTCACCTGGCTTTGATGTTCAATTTCGGGCCGCTTCTGGATGAGATCTTATCTGCACGGCGCTAAACCAGCGTGGATTTTAGAAGCTTGAGAGTGATCGCCGGGAAGCTGTCAACCAAAAATGCACAGCAACAAAGGCCCGCAGCTCCATAGGCCCAAAATGTAAGAGCCCTACTAGCACGACGACAGAGAAGTACCAACTTGCATGCAGATGCTGGCTGTGCTCGAGCTCAAGAGCCCAACCACGAGGAACATGCACATGCCCGCCATGCACTTGGATCGTTTTTGGATTCTCCTTCCAGATGGACAACCCTCCCCAAAGAGACACCGGGCTCAAGGCCCTAAGAATGCTCAGAACCAAGACGGCACAAATGTGAAGCTTGCAAAGCCAAAGTGCTGCCCAAAAATTGCTGCAAGGAAACGGCAGGAGCCTAATCCTCAGCAAGCAAGCCCTTCTTGTCAAGTTCTTGGCAAAATTATGCGGCTGGGTGGTCCCCTTGCTCCCGAACCCTAAACCCAATCCCGTAAAAACCCTAAACCCGTCGTTGAATTTCCACATAGCCCAAAACAAGCCACCCTCTGAAGAGCCAAATGCATGGGAGTGGCTTTGTAAGGGAGATCCGTCCATGGAGCTCATTGGCCAGGTATATCCTGGGTATGGTTTAGGGTTTAGGGTATATCCTGGGCAGTTCAACGCTGGGGCTTTTGACTAGGGAGGGTCATGGCTCAGGATGTATTCTGAAGAGAAATAATCGTCGTCGTAGTAGCAGCAGCAGCAGTCATACCAACAAGAATTAGGAATACTCGTCGTTATGAAATTCGAGGATGTCCAAGGTAGGACGTGCCTAAATGGCACCTGAGAGGGAAGTGCACGAAGTCGGTCCACTTTAGGAAAGTAGTCGTGCCCAGCAGAAGCTGGTGATCCTTCAGTATCTTCTGGCCTGCATCCCAAAGGCTGCGTTCCTGCCAATGGTTTGGCAGGGCTGGGTGGATCACATAATCACCCCAAATGTGAGGGCCAGTGCCATATTGCATAAGGACTCTGGGACCTATGATATTCTGGGTTGCTGTTAAGGAACTTAAATTAAGTTACTATATTGGGGAAACCCCATTATTTACTACATATTTCCATTATGGTAACTTAATTTAAGTTCATTAAAACCCTATATTCCCCCAATTTCCATTTCATTTTCCATTTGATTCTCCATTATAGGGGGATAATATCCCTAAACCCTAAACCCTAAACAGCAGACCGCTTCGGTGCAGCTCAGGCAGGGTTTCTTAGAATTCTGCGTGCTCAGGGCCCAAAAAGACATGCAGGCAGCATACTGGGACTGAAATGGTGTCTCGACTAGGATTTCACAGGGGAAACTTTGAGAAACTGCCAGGTACTTGGGACTTGTTTTGTCATAGGCTGCCTGTGAGATGCGCCAGGCTGTAGAGGAAGCTCTACCTAGACCCCTTCCCTCCTCCCTTACTTATCATCTAGGAAGACCCCCACGCCACAATTGTGGTATAATAGGAATAATAACCATGATCCCTTATTGTCACAATTACTACCCACTTATTTGACACACTTCATGGCCACGGATGCCCACGAGATGCAATATTCTTTTTTTCATCGACATCGCTCCACCTAGTCCAGATACGTGGCGCTTGCAAAGCCGAAGCTTGTAAAATCAATACGAAGGGGAAAAAAGGACCTAGTACTCTGAGATCATGTGGAATCTTTAAAGCCGTAAGCAATATCTGCCCCCGCAGTATGAAGGAACTTGTCACAAACTCCAGTTGAGCACTTTACCTGCCACTGCTCCCTCCTTACAACGCTAAAAGTAAACCTGAACCTCTCCATAGCTAGATGCGTAGGGCGTAGGGGCCCTGCCAGAAGTAAAACAGTGAATTCTGCATCGGCTAGGGCAGAGGCTTAGGGTCTTCAGAAGTTCCAGGTTTCCAAGGTGATGTTCAGTGAGGGTTTACAGTCTTTGTATTGCTGAGTCTCTCATGCTTGGGCTTCTTGGCCTGGTAGGCACCTGCCCTAAGGCGGTTCTTCGCAAAGCTACGCTTAAAAAGTGGTATTAAGCTCAGCTGGGTACTGCCTCCACCCTGACAGCAAACCTGGCAGAACTTCCACCTCACGTGCCTTTGTATATGTGTAGTAAGGCAGGGTACCATGCGTAAAAATCCAACACGCCTCACGCGCTCGTGCCTATAAACCTCATGAGCGCTTCTCAGCATTGCAGGGTGGAGGCGGCATCCAACAAGTCAGTCAGCCGCAGGGTCAAAGGAGCCTGCAGCTGCAAAGCCTCAGGAACAACCAGTTGGGGCTCTGGGTGGATATATATATATATATGTGTGTGTGTATATACACAACATAGAGATAGTATGGAGGGTGCGCGGCCCTTCTCTGTAGCGATCGTGAAAGGATTCTACATAGGGATTCCGCCGAGGAGTTCATGGAACTGCATAATGGGCTTCATGAAGATGATCAGCGGTCAGCAGCGGTGTGGGATGCGACGGGACTGATGAGGAAAGGCACGCAACGTAGCAAATCACTCATTCCATGCTGCAAAAAGTCAGTGGCCAATCAGCGCAGAGCCAACCGAAACCCAGGAAAAACATCACTATACATTTGGCGGGCCCCAAGTTGCTCCTTCAACGAATCGGCAAATGGCAACGGCGGATTTTTCGAAATTGCCATGTCAACCATGTCTTAAAACGAACCAGAATCAGACAAGAGCTTATAGGTATCCGCACATACGATGTATAGGCTAAGCACAAAAAGATGGGAACCTGCACAGTGAGTGACCTGATTTTCGGGAATCGCCGCCAGGAGGGATATTATTTCCACAAGAGCTGTGCAAATTGCGGGAAAGAAGGCATAGTTAAAGTTTATAAGCCTTATTGCAGGGTCGAGATCCACACATATTGAATTTAGGTTTACAGTTTCATGACTCCATGGTTGTAATCGGTTCAGTTGGAGAGCTACTGATGCTTTCTGGGACGAATGCAGCGGAAGTTCCATGTTCCCCCTTGTGCCCCAGGGACCCAAAACGCTCAAAGTAAATCTGGTAGACTTTAGTTCAGTTTCGTGTTCTACGTCATTAACCCTAAACTCTAGGCCCTACCTCGGGCAGTTGAAGCCCGCCGGCCTTATAGCTTCACAGCTGCAGTATATATTGCTTACTTGGACATATGGTGGGGGCATATTTTCGCAACAGTAGGGCCATGCAATAATCATTTGCCTGACAATGCCCGCCGGCAAGCCTGGCATGTTGAGGCCAAGGAACTGCAGTGAAAGCCCAGAGGCACACGGGTTGGGATCCTGAGTGCAACTGAGGTCTTTGAGGCTTTCGGGCAGCTTGCTTTCAGTCCTTTTTGCATTTTGGAGCAATTTGTTTGCTCTCCGGTGTTGAGTTCGGGCAGCCCGTTGAACTAACGAACGATTAGTTGCATACTCCTCGCGGCTTGGGTTCCTGCAGCGCGGCGACCTTTTCATGTTGAACAGTCTATACTATGTAAGGTCACTTATTCCAAAGAGCTATTTGGCAACACGTGTCTTGAGGGGCTGCTGGGCGGAGACAAGGGGAAAGCTGTTTTGGTATGTCCGATTTCCAGGTCATTCCCAGAGCTGAGGTAGACACGCGCATCGCACAAAATTGAGAAAAACTCCAGTCGCTGCCATGGCTGCCTAGGGCAAGAAGCCAGAACCTGTGCGAAGCCAACTCACCAAAGCTCGATGGCAATCAACGGTCTGAACAACATTGTTCCTATGTGCTACGTGGTCCTAGCACTCGAGACATTGGAAGGGCAACTGAAAGGGAATTCATGTGAATGTTGCAGGCGAGCGCAGCTATTGATGAAATTTCTGTCCGTGAGCTGAGGTCTCAACCCCGGACACCATGGGGCCATTTCATCACACTGGACCCTGGGTTCCGGGTTCCCATGCCCACTACAAAGTTACACACGCACCCGTCAGGCTTTACTCTGCAACAGGGGAATGTTGAGAAACTCCAAAGCAAGACCATCCCCCAAATGATAGATACCCCCATATGGCGCCATAATTTTACCATAGCTGCTGCACGAATGAATGACGGTTGAAGATGTCTCAGATGTCAATATGTCTTTGTAGAACCAAGAACATGGGGCCAACCAGGGGAAAACTGGGGCGGGGTGCAAATGGCGTGGAGCAACGTCACGCCCAGCCCAAGCCTTTCCTTGCAACAATACTTTGAAGTATCCGCCCCTAGCCCCTAAGATTAAAATCCTCTTGAGTATTAGGGGGAGGTGCTAGCCCTATCAGCAGAATGATGACTGCTTCTAGCCCTAATTGCGGTCTCTGCATCCGTACTTCTAGCTACCACAATCCTTGCCCCCCAAATGCTGCCCTTTTGCCCTCTGACGCTGCTGCTCTTTGACCATGAACTCTGAAGAAATAATTGAACATTCCCCATGGAATCCTATATAAGGGCTCCTACTACACATCTTTGCATATGAGCTCTAGTCTAGACACCTAGTATCCCCTTTTATAACCCTATGATGCTTCCATCTATCATCCCCTGTATCGTCAAGGAGTTTAGACTAGCGTCTCGACAGCGCACTGAAAGGTCCTTGCTGAGATGCAGCTTCAGTGATGTTTCTTGTTTGGTGTTGGTCGGCGCTTCATCAGGTGGGTAGGGCAATGCGTGCCTCAGAGACCCAAACTCTAAGTTTTTTGGGTGACATTCCCTTGATGTTTTGCTGCGGGAAAGCAAGCCTTACTTGTGGAGGGTTCAAGGTACCAGGTAAATCATGAACTGCATCTTGACACAGACTCATTCCAGAGGTCCAGAAAATAGCATGTGCGAAAGCCATCATCAAATCTTTCCATCCAACAGGAGCCCTACTTGTAGTTCATTGAGTGATCAATCTCCCCATCTGGCAATTTAGCAAAATGACTTCCGCATTTTCTTAACCAGGACTCCTGTGACCGCTTTAAAATGCTTCTAAGACGTGTGCATCGTTTACGCCCGAGCATCAGAGTGGCCGCGTCCAGCACTCTAAGCTCTGCGGTCTCCTACACATGAGGTTTCTCAGAAAAAGGTCCCTTGCGTGCGAGTTTTTCAGTGGCGATCTAGGACCTGGAGTAAGTACAACTTACAGGGAGTTAGGATGAAATCAGCTAATATCTGTTTTACGGATGAGGCAGGGATTATACGTCCCTATTCCCTACTAACTACCAGTAAGACATAAGCGTATCAAGGGCTCCAGGTCTCAGCGCTCGAAGCCCGTGGGTTTAGAGGACGACAAAGGGTCTATGGGAGGTGTTGGGGAGGTCTCAAAACCAAAGGCGACAGCAAAATACCTTCTTGAACATCTGAGTGATCCAATGCCCCTCACATCACCTGAGAGGAAGCTGCTAAAGGACAGTTGTTATTGTTATAGTTGTCATAACGCTTGTCATTCTCATTCTTGCTATAGCAAGATGAGCACGGACGCAGGACATCCAGGATCCACAACAGGAATAGGAGCTCCTGTCGCAACATCTTCGGAGCCCGTTAACCCCCGCATCGTCCCCTCAACATCCTTATTCTGCTACGTTGCGGTATGATCCCAAAACTGGACGGCTTTCTGGCCCTTCTCGCGACCCCACGTTTGGGGCCCAAAGCAATGAATCTAGTGTTGACAGCCACCCGTTGAGGATGCTTTTCATATGTCTCTACGCCGCTTACCAACCTTAAGATGTAGCCCTGGAAAGTCTAGATTCTAGGTTGTACTTAGATGCAGAACAGCAGGTGCAAGCACGGCCTCCTCGAGGTCGTGCACCAGCAGAACCAGTGAGGCTTCATCCTCGCTGCCTCCACCAGCATGCACGCTCTGGGGAGCTCTGCTTGAGGCTGGGCGTAGGGCGTGGGTGCTTTAGCATGAAAAGGTTGAACATTTCAGTGCCTCACGGACCCCTCGGTTGAGGCAAGTTTTTCCAAAAGCAGGATTTGAGCGGGGGCAATCAAAATGGGAGAGACAGGAAACTTCAATTTAAATCGAAGCGGGCTGGGGGGCCTCCTCTTGCAGGAACCACTGCCAGGTCGTTGCAAACGAAGCGACTCCTCTGCTGGCAAGCAACATCTTGCAATCTTGGCATTCTTACGGCCAGGCTTAGAGTTTGAGGCTTAGAGCTCTGCGCATACACGATTTCACAAGCGTGTAGGGGGTGTAATTCTTGCACTGTGCTTTTCAATTTGAAGTGTCTGATGGCATCTGTATTTCATGCAGGGTGCGTCTATGCAGATCTTGGATAAATCAAGTTGCCTGCGGCCCACTTACAGAAAGAACACGTCGAAACATACATTACACATCCCTCAAAACAGACTGAAAGATACACTCTTGAACCACTATGTCATTCCTACAGACCCCCTATCTTTTCTGCATACTGTGACGAGACACAGGCCACGTTCCTTAACAAACTGCCAGCCGGTCTTCCACTCATGTTGGTATTTCTGAAAGCTATAGCTGCCTCATAGGGACTGCCTTATGGATAGTGTTTTGGGCGGTTTATTAGAGTAGACCCTGATAATTCATAAGCGTGCCCGAATGGGCGTGACCGTTAAGAGGAACCCAGTAAATCTCCTTGCACTCCCCTGTAGCCACCTAGGGTTTCCTGACGGCCCCCATTCTTGCCAAACCCCCATACTGTCGCCAGAGAGATAGACATCATCCTGCAAAGCCCGAACTATTTCCGTAGTCCCCCTTAAGTAGAAAGAACATGGGGTAGATGCGGATCTTACTATAATATGCCCAAGTATATTCTATCTACTTAAGGGGGACTATAGGCCCTTGGAATTAGAGTAGGGCAGTGTGGTATACCTGTTGTCATGCAAGATTTTGTTCATAAACCATATCTCAGCGTTACGCAAGGCAACCGAGACTCTCAGCAGACAAGCCTGCTGTCGGGCTGCCTTCGGCTCTGAAATGGGGTTGCTAAGGTACCTGTAACCCTTACTTAGCAAGTGTAACTGTATAACTCCGTGTATAACTCATAAAACGCTGGGCAAGTTGGGGGCGTACAGGTTAGGGTACATGGTCAAGGTCATCAACCCACGCATGGCGCTGGCTCTTAGAGTTTAGAGTTTATCCCAGAACAGTTTCCGACACGTGACACTACAGGTCATGAAGTTGTTGCCACTGGGAGTTTACCCTCTCGAGTCCTTATTAGACTTCATCAGCGTCTTGGACGAACTTGAATGACATTGCATGACCACCTGAAAATAAAGGTGCTCTGCGCACCGTTCCTACTTACGAGGATACATACTATGAGAATCCTTTTTAAAAGGACCTCCCAAAGCCCTCGGGGTAATTACGTCGCCCTCCCACCCGAAGCGAAAGTCCGCGCCTGAACTGTGCCGAAGGTCATGCTCTAGCAGCCTTGGCATGAAGTTCATGATGGCTTTTCCGGGAGCGTCTTGGATATTTGTGGGGTGAAACTACACCTTTGTCAGCAGTGTGGCCGACAACAGCACAGGCCCTGCTAGACTCTTAATACTGTAGACAGTTTGCAGGTCCAAACAACCTGAAGGTCCCGCCAGTAAAGAGATCCAGGTTCCAGCTGAGGATGCTCAGCGGGTTCCCGGGGATTACAGAAAGATGTCTTTGGGCACGCGGTTGCTGGCCTTTTTAAGTGCCAAGGCCAATCTACAAGCCATATTAGCTTCTTGAGGCGCGTCTTGTGTGGACTGAGGGAACCTCCGTGCTGCCTGAGATTTAGAAGCCTTCGCGGCTTCTCCTGACAACAGCTATGGCTTCGTTATTGTAGTCCTGCTTGAAATGAAGACGTCCATGATCACCTTGATGAACAATGCTGGTAAGGCAGTGTCATGATCCTTCTGCCCATTACTTTCTCGAATGATGTACAACTGTTGTTTCTTGCCTGGGTTGATGGTCATGGGCAATGGGCGCCTACGTCACCTTTTCCCAGGTTAGCAGGTTTCACGATTCCACCCTCGTTTTTGGTGAACGACTTACTGCTGTCCAAATCAGAAACCTCTGGCTGGAGTCCAATGTCCATCGGTTGTAGTTGCATATGCTGGTTACCCAGAACCACAAAGTGGGAGATGTGTTCCTGGCCAGCACTCAACAAGAACACTGCTAGTCATAACCTAGCTTTAACTAAGCTAACAACAAGATGTCAAGGAGCTTCCCGGTGGCCAGGTCATGCTTCAACACCTAAGCAGTTGGGAGGGACAGAAATGGTGCATCCTAAGCTATGGTAGCTTCTAAACAACGCCGGGTTTGCAAGATATGCCAAACATGCGCGACTTCTTCACATGGGAGGCCCACGTCAAGAATGGATCGCTCCCACCTGACTCTGACTGTTTGGTAAGGCCTTCGTTGCTGAGTGGCCACGGCAAAGTAACACGCCAGCCATCACGACTACTTCCTTGGCAAGTCCACTCACGAAGCTGGTGCTGACCAAGTTACTTTGGTAAAGCGGGCCACAGAGCCCTCTGGCACTGGCGCGCCCTGCTGGATCTCCGAAGCAAATCCTTGTTAGTTGTGTATGGCTTGGGGATTCAAATCCGAACTCAAGGACAGTAGCCTACAGACCCTATAGTCCGTAACCAGCCAAAGGGCGCGGGTGGTGCTACTCCACTTTCTCCCAGCTGCCTACGCATATGCGGGTCGCATTGTTATCACCTCAAATATTGCTGGCATTTCATTAGTGGGGTATCCTCCCTAGACCTCAAACCGTGCACCCCAACTCTCTGGCCAAGCTTCCCAAGGACCAGCCGTAGCGATGCGGGCGGCCGACAAAGTGGGGGTTCACTGCCCCAAAGTCAGATAGCCAGCTCCTGCAGCGATGGCAACACAAGGTTTAGGGGTCCGTCCAGCAACCCAAGGCCCCCAATTCCCAACCTCAGGGCTAAAAGACATCAAGTACTCCATCTCAAGGAAGTGTTCCTGGGGCAATGACTTCGATGACTGTCGAGGCATGAAACTCACCGGCTGTGGGTGGCAGGAGTCGGAATTGGGTTTCCACGAGGGCACAGACCTTTAAAGCCTCGGACTCTCAACTAAGCCTCAACTTGAGGTTATCCCTGGCCTCCCTCGCCCCTGGCAAGATTTTTCACGGGAGCAGTTCAATCCTCAAATCATGAAAAGCCACATCTTAAACTCGCACAGACTTACACGTCAGTCCTCACACCTTATTCTCAACTGCGCTCCATGAGGGCTGAAATCAAGAACCTGCAAACTTCTGTTCCTGATCCGTTTTGAAAACACTTGACCCTGCAAGCTCCTCTGCAACTCTATCAGCATCTGTCCTCGAAGCTTCTTCGGGTGGCGAATGGAGGCGCGTGCTTTCCACAACCTTCGCTTCCTTGACGTCCAGGACCTTGCACGCGTACTGATGGCAGATGACCACCGAGTTTTGGCTGGAATTCATAACTGATGGAGCTTGTACATGATGGTGGGAAGGGTGCTGGGATGGGCCTACCTTGGCCTACATCAGCATGCGCCGAGAGATTACCAAAACGACCTCTTGCTTAATTCTTCCATGAATCATAAACTGATCTTAATAATCATAGATTGTTTTCAATAATGCCATTGGTTGGCACTACTGGTGTGATTTCCGCTAACTTGTTATTGCTAGGTCTTCGTCTAGCCATATTTCGCAACAGCCTCAAACGCAGCCCTTTTCTTGAAATCTCCCAAGGCTAACTAATAATAGCTTTTTGGGGCATCCTTCAAATATCTCAATGCTGCCAATGTTGTAAATGCACTTGATTCCTGTTTAGGTGCTTTACACACCCTGACTCGCAACCACAAATCCATGTAGTCACACTGGAGAAGGGAAATCAGGGATCCCTCTGCAACCCACTTTTGAACTTGTTGTCTGTCTGCTACGTAGGACAACAAGCCCCGAAATGCTCAAGCCAGAATCCAAGCTCACAAGTAATTACTCTAAACCTTGTGACGGAGGGCTCAAGCTCACAAGCCTACATCCTACACCAGAACACCCAGACCCTGCGCCATCTATATTTTCTGCTAGAATGTCGAGAGATAAATGTCCTATGTCAAAAACGCAGGCCCCACAGCCACCTCTTCTGAATCTTGAAGACTCTTTTACCCTCCGAGCAAGGCTTCGACCCAGCGATGCAGGACGGCCGTGTCCCCCTGCAGCCGCTGTCCATGGGGCGATGCCCGCGCCTCCTCGCTGAGGGGTCTTGGAACGAATGCATCGGGCCTTTCGCTTGAAAAGCGCCTAATACATAGAATCGTGAATCAGATTCTGGGTGGGACATCGAGTACCCACAGTAACGAAATGAAGGCACAGCCCATACGGTTCCTCGCGCGCCCACGGTGAGGCGTCACCCGTAATCTTTACGACTCCTCCATTACGCCAACGTCATCGAGGAACGCCGGCCGATAATGGGTAAAAGCAAAGCTATACAGACATATCCTGACAGCACGTTCTCCTTATGAATCCCAAGCCTTATAAACCCTATACCCTACCCCACAAACTCCATCCCTCCCCCTCACATCCTCGTGCAGCTTGGAACCCATGCCAAGGCCCAGGGTGTAATCCTTGGTTTGAACATGACAGCGCGACATTATGCGACATTCAAGTGCTCAAGTTCAAGTAGCACCGATGTAAGAATAACAAAGCGTGACATCATGAACGACTGTCTTTCCTTTCCCAATCCTCTAGAACATGCAAACATTGGCATGTAGGAGTCAGAACTGCCAGATCGCGGAACCATCGACGTCTCATTTCAAGATGATCGATTGCATCCAGGCTCCTGGCGGAAGGTGTGTACGACCACCCTGTCAGGGTCCGCTGGATCATCGTAGGCATTTAACCTGGGCTGGGCTGCTCCCCTAAGGGTCCAAGGACCCAAATAATAAGGTTTTAGGTCCCAAATACTATTAATATTATAGTATTTGGGCCCTAAAACCTTTTTATTTGGGTCCTTGGACCCTTAGGGCTCCTGATGGACCAAGATGTACAAGACTTCCATTTCTGTTCAGCACAGGTGCACAGGCGTGTCTTCTAGCTCGTTGTAGGGTCACGAAGGTACGGGCCTATATATATAGGGGTGTCCATTGGGAACAAATGCTGAAGAGGCCCAGTAGCACATGAAAGTTGAAGCAATTCTCAGCCTCGATCCAGATGACATCATCTGAAGACTTGGAAGAGCGATTTAAGATTCCAAAATAGCACCTGCAGCACCGAAGGGGAAGAAAGCTGCCGCCAACACGTTGATTTAGTTAAGAGAGTAGAAGATGAGGCGCGTTGGTAGTTTGCATCTCGGTTCAGAGTTCCTCTGAGAACTACATATAGATAGGGGCCACGGATCGAACGAGATAGGCCAGAGTCTCCTCTACAAGTAAGAGCCCGGCACACATTCCAACATGCCGAACGCCATCAGATTTTGTCTGTGTCTAGGGACTTTAGGAGGGAC